AAAATCTAGTGGTCCCGCAGATTTTGGTTTAAGCGGACTCCACTGTAGATGGATACATAGATAGATAGGTAGGTAGATAGAGATAAATAGATAGATAGATAGATAGATAGATAGATAGACAGATAGATAGATAGATGGGTGGATGGAAGGATGGATGGATGGATGGAAAAGTTAAGTGAATAAATTAGCAAACTAATAATAATGATATTAGAGATTTAAAAAAAAGAAAGAAACACTAAAGTCCTTGAAAGGGAACTCACTTGTGCACAAAGCTTTGGCTGTCAATGTCGCAGAGACAGCTGCTGTAGGTTCTTAAAGCCTGATTATCTCTCCCTGGCTGTCAAGGAGGAAAGGATTCGGGTCCGCTGGGAACTGAGCTGAGCGAGTCTTATCTCATTGAGGAAGAGCGTTCTGGTCATTTGACAACACTAGTTGCTGTTGAAGACGCACCGATTTGGGGGAACTTAAAAAAAAAAAGAAGTAGGCCTATACCCTCGTTATTCATAAGATTTTCAATTCTGTTTTCTTTATTTGAAACCCCCAAACGACAGGCAACAGCATGCATTCTATGGAACATACAAATTTGTGTTTCTGATTAGTGTATTATGATGGTTAAAAATGGTATGCAACATTGGGGGTTTTTTCTGCTGCTGATCGGACATCAGTGTGGCCGCTTCGTTCTTCAAGAGTTCAGGGGACATAACAGCGCATTCATACCAAAAATGTTGGGCAAACGACCAATAAGGACCGACAGGCAAAATGCACAAACTACACTACACTGCAATGTGTTCATCACTTATCAGACCGCCGTTGACGACCGAGTTCATTTTTATCGCCTGTCCCTTATTTCCGTTTTACGACAGCACTATACGTTATTATAAGTCCTTCCAAAGTCGTATGGGGTGCAGAATTCAGACGTAAACGGCGTGCGGTGTGCAGATTTCAGACGTCAACAGCTGTGTGGTGTGTAGATTTCAGACGTAGTCATTCTGAATTCTACACAGTGGACCGGACGGCTGTTGTTCCCTCCTGTTCAAGTCTCCATTTGTTTAATTACAACAGAGTGTGAAGGGCTAATCAGCGTCGTGTTTACAAGACCAGGGCTTTTTAGGTTTTTTAAAGTTTAAGTAGAGGTTTCCCGGCACTCGTAACTGCATAAGGTCATATGAGCGCCAGAAGATTAGAGGTGTTACAAGAGAGTAACAAACATAAAAAAAGAAGTAGGGGAGATAAAGAAGATATAATAATATATATGTTTGATAGGAAAGAAGGCGCAAACCACACCAGAGCACCCGCCAACCACCCAGGGCTCTTAAGTCAAAACTAACGAACTCTATGCAGATAGACAGTATACTGCCATGGCTTGGGAAAACATCCGAGAAAAAACCCATATTGGCAGTGTTTATTTTTATCTCCTCCACAAGCTCCTCCTCCTCTCCCAACTTATCATCAACATTTTCACCAGCTTCTTAGTCTTTTTCTTCCTCTATCCCCATCACACATTTCATATCATCATCATTATCATCATCATCAAGTACACTGTAGCTTTGGCCCCATGCATATGTATGCAGAAAGTTTTTCCACATCCACAAGTAAGCAAGGAGGAAGTTTCATTAAATGCATGTGTAACTTTCAAGTCAAACACCACACTAGCGTATCCAACAATGAATACTTCAAAGACAGCACTTGGCCCTATACTGGGATAAAGACCAGGAGATATTAACTATTTAGGAAAAAAAACAACTTTTTATCTCAAAACATGCTTAAAGACTGACCTATTCACTTCACTGAATCATTTTACAGTCAACACACTTATGCTAATACAGATAATAATTCATCCATCAGTGTCTATGCCTCTGCAGAAGAGAATTTTTTTCAAGTGGAGTAGAAGAAATGAGGGAAAATGATTTGTGGCTTCTGCTATGGCCAGTGAGACCAGTTCTGGCAGAAAAGTTTCTGCTATATATAAATATTTCGAGCATTTAAAAGCTTCATTTCCACCCAAGGATGATCACAGAATGCAGGCTTCTCTTAAGCGTTTTTCATTCTGAAAGCCTCATATGACTTACCATCCACAGTAACTATCACTCTCACTACACCTTTTTCGTCGACCAAACACTGTTATTTTATTTTTTTTATAGGAGTATTAGTAGAGGGTTTTACGGCGCTCGCAACTGCATAAGGTCATATGAGCACCAAGGGGTGGGTGTCAACAGAGAAGTCTTAACAAGGAATCAGACTTAGACTGCTCACCTCTCTAGCTTCAACAGCACAAGGTCTGCTTCGACTATCAAGGCACCCCAAAATAGCAGGTCCCAAGAGAGCGACAAACATACAAAAGAAGTAGAGGGAAATGACAATAGTAAGGATCACGAAAAAAAAAGCAGTAGTTCCCTGTTGTAGATCAGGCACAGTTATGAGCGAGACATGAATCAGCCCATTTACAATTCTGCTATGCTTGAACGAGAAATTACCCACTTTTGGGAATGTGCCAACCACTGTTAGAGATAGAGATGGACCCAAAATGGTTTCAGGAATACAACTTTATTATAACACAAGATACGATCAGGAATAAGGAGGGGTTCCATAACAAACTTGTTGAGTCTATAAATAAATGTAGGAAGAGTAAAAGAGAATCTAAATGTAAAGCTTATTTCACAAATGGATAGAAGGATTTGACACGTGTCAATATTACACTTACTGGACTGAAAAAAAGGGTTAAAAATGACAAAAAGAATATAGGGCCTACATAAAATATAGATCTAGAAACAAAAATTCTTACTGAAATCTGATCGGTCAATGGTTAATAATCATAAACATTTTACGACCCCATTGACATAATTAAGATTTTAGAATCTGATTCAGTAGAATCTTTCTATAAATGTATGGTATACCCGAATTCTTTGAGAGAACTCCAGAACTTGTTGAACGATTACCACATCTATATCTCTAACTACTTTCACGGCTTCCATGTGTGCTTCAAATATACATTGGCTTTTGATTTAGTTTAGATTTAGTGAGAGTTTTACAGCACTTGCAACACACATAGGTTATAAAAGAACAGATGATTAGAGATGTAACATACAAAGAAAAGGAGGGAGAAGAATCACGAAGCAAGATGATTGATATGAAAAAAGCAGCAAACCACACCAGAGCACCTGCCAACCACCCACACTGGTTCGATCTAACTGGTTCGATCTAGTCCTGTGTCAGATGAGTATAAGATCTACCAACCACAAATGAAGCTGAAAATTTTGTCATATACAAATTTCACCTTTACATGTATAAAACAAAGCATGCTGGGACCAAAACAGTGATGGAAAGGAACCTGCTCACAATATGCTTTGTGAGACATTGAAACAAAGACATGGCTGTAAGAAACAAAAATATACATTCTAAAAATCATATATATATAAAAATGGTAAAGGGATATTTATCCCAAGGATTTCCGTCTAACTTTTGTGCACAAAACATATCATTTTGGACACACACCTTTAAAAAATGCCTATGGATTATTTTTTGGATATGAGCAAACTTAACACATATCAGATTGAAAACCTTGATCAGATTCTTTTCATAGTACAAACATTCACTTCTTTTGAACACCAAAAACAATATTTCACCACAATGATACAACCAGTAAACACTGTCACATTTAAAATCTCCAAGGCAGAGAAGAAATTTGTAACACTATGCTGTACACTGCAAAAGAATATGTGATCTTAGAGTCAAAATTGGAATCAAAGGCTACAAGGAGTTTTATCACTCACACAGGATATTTGATAGTACATTCAAACCAGTATGAAGAAAAACATACACACACACACACATATACACATACACAAACCGAAAAAAGTATACGTGAGGCAGCGTGGTGGAATCAGGCTCTCGTCAAAATAATCAAAGTGAAGAAACTTGCATTTTTCCACAGGTTTGTGAATTTTCATCAAATTTTTTTTTTTTGGCTCAACACCTTTCATGCCCATTAAAAAACTCATTTCTGTGTGGATTTTTCTGAAAAACGTTGATTAAAGGTACAAAAAAAGTAAATGTTTAGTTACCACGGACTCTTAAGCTAATGAAATAACTAATCTTTGGCGGCCATTTTCTCACTAATTTTACCTCTGAAAACAGGTGACCCCCACCTCCTTCTTTTGCAAATATCGCGACCTTGTATTCAAGATAAATGGATATTTTTTCCATCCAAATAAAGAAAACTGAACAAGCTTTAAGATGAAACCAATAACTCTACATGCCCTAAAATTGACGAGAGCCTGATTCCACTGCGCCGCCTCACATATACACTCAAACATATAAAACCAATTCAGGCCCATGTCAGTTCTACATTAGGAACATAAAAAGACAGTACTTAGCAGCGGCACAACCATTTTACATTTTGATAACATCAACACAACAAGTTCTCTTCTGTCAAGTACCTGTCAGACTCTATGTGTATACAAATAGCACCATTGTCATTCTCCCCTGCTGGTGGGGGGCCCCGTAGTTTTACTATGGGGGAGCAAAGAATACACCTGCCGTGATACTGCGTGTTGTAAGAGGCGACTAAAAGTGCATAGGTCGGGTCGCCCGAAAAGTGCCAGTTTGCGGAGGGCCAACTACCCAACCCAGTACAAAACAGTAAGTTACAGAAACACGGACAAACACAGCTTTTTATGTTTCGATCTTGGGAGACGTAGGAGCTTCTGCATCAGCAGGAACAATGAAGGACAGCGGACAAAGCCGAAAGGACTCTTCTGACCCGAAACCTTCTCTGTCGAACAAGTCTCTCCGGATTGCGTCGTGGAATGTTCGCACCTTGTATGAAGCAGGAAAGAGTTCTCAAGTAGTACAAGAGATGAAGAGATACAGGCTGCACATACTAGGAGTCAGCGAAACACACTGGATACAGTCTGGACAGAAGCAGCTCAGCTCGGGGGAACAAGTATTGTACAGAAAAGTGGGAAGACATGAAATAACATCAAGAGGCTAGCCCAGGATAGAGAAAAGTGGAGGGTGTTTGTCCGTGGCCTATACCCTGGTGCAGGGTGAGAAAGGCAATGATGATGATGACCATTATCATTAATGACAGCTTCAGTTCGAAAAGTCCACTTTCTGAACAGTGCTACACACTTCAATTTGAATAGAGCTCTCGGAGGGAGATGTAATTCTTCACTTTCCGAGGTACAAGTCTCAACTGGTTTACCCGACGTGGGTTACCCGCACCTAAAGCACTCCGCACAGCGATACGACACAAGAGAACAAGAGCTCGAGGAACCGACGCCATATTGATCAGCAACTCACGAATCTCAGCATGCTCTGGCTCATGCAGCGGCTCCGGGAAATCACGAGAGATGACCCAGTCTTCTTTCGTGGCATTGACACCAGCCAGTTGCAGTAATGAGACAATTTCTTGGTTGAGGTTACTGGCCGCAACCCACAGCATGGAACGTGGGATGGGGTAATAAAGTTCTGATTTTAGCTCCCACTGTGTGTAGGCGAAGCCTTGACTGCATGCCTGGAGGTCTTCCTCTACATAGTGAGGTAACAGCATCTTGACTACATCTGCTACACCAGACACCACGGCGTTGAACAAAGGAGTTGCTCCGATACGATTGAACATACACGCCTCAGCACCGTTGTCAAGTAGGGCACGCACAACATCTTTGTTGCCGTTGAAGGTTGCAAAATGAAGAGGAGTGTCAAGATCATCATCAAAAGTGTTCACCTGGCAGCCATAAGCGATGAGTGACAGGGCAACAGTGCTGTGTCTGAAAGTAGAAAACAATTACTTCAATTGAAAATTAATGTGCCCTGCACATTTGCATTTAATTCTCACAAAAACGTTATAAAAGCACTAGCAGTTCTGATTCTCAACTGCAATTGTCTTGAAACCCCCCCCCCCCTCCCCCCTGGAGCAAAGCAAGTAAGAAACATATATGTAATGAGATGATCAGCGAATTAGACCACAATATACTGTGAGCAACATTATCTACTCCTGCATTAAAGTTTACATTTGGTTGGGACAATAAAAAGCTATATTTCAAAATATTAAAGGAAGGCGTTAAAGGAAAAAAACATCCTAGAGCATCAACCAACCACTCGCACTTCTTTCTTCCACCTACACCTTCTGTATACTACAATATGTCAGCGCAAACATTTATGACTCACAATTGCATAAGGCCATAAGAGCACGCAGGACACATTTAACATTTTCAGTTGGTAGGAAATTTTGAATTTTGCCCGGATGGCAGCCGAAGCCTACTCTTATCGATCTTAGACCACCAAGGGATCTTTAACGTGCGCAACTTGCACACAGGACCTCCGAGATTGTACGTCCTTGTTCGAGAAGGCTGAGGTGTAGATCTTTCCTACCAGAACATCAGGGGTGCGGCTGAAAGACAGCAGTAAGAAGGAGCCAAGGAGTAGCAGTAGAACGGCTGCAGAAAGAGTCAGGAGCCCAGAGGAGGGAGGTGAGGGGGTGGGGGCAGAAAGTGGAGACAACGACAAATGATAGAACATTGCAAGAGAGCAGGAAAGTAGGTGAAAGGAGACAATTTTAGAGAAGAAAAGTTTATCGCCGCTACCCGGATTTGAACCCAAGACCTTTGAAAGAGAGGCGAACACCTGAATCTCTAGGCCACGAGAGCCCCCGTTGTAACCCTTCTAGGAACCAATGAAGAACAAGTAAAAATAATCCTCATCGCAGCTCTTCTTTTCCAGGGACAGATATCAGTTATACCTAATTGACACACTACTTTAACCCCCTAAAAATGTATGGTAAGTAAAAGTAAAACACAATTTTCATCCAGAAAAAACAAACACAGGCATCTAGACAAGAAATAGGGTTAGCGGTAGGGTTTACAGTAAACCACCAGCAATAAGATATACAATACAGGACAGACTTTAAAAAAGAGTTGCAAATGTAGGCCTACTCATTAATGTGACAGAGACTGAGACTGCTCAAGCAAGCCTACAGATGTAAAAATAAATAAATCTACAATTACTAGCACATAATCAATGGCACAACTCCTCTGCTTCCAGGGTACCATTCAGACATTACAATCTCTCAGACACAAGGGTGGTGTTTTTTCTTCTGCACTTATTTTGACTTCTCAAGGTGAACCTCGGGTGGAACTTAGTTTGACAGCCACGATTCCCAGCTGAGCACCTTGTTTCAACAGCTTTGGCTGGATTCATCATCATCATCATCATCATCATCATCATCATCATCATCATCATCATCATCATCATCATCACCCCTGGCAGGGTGTAGGTCACATACAAGCTCCTTCCGTCTATCTCTGTCCTAGGCCATCCTTCACTTCAAAAAGCTCGTTCCAAGTGAGCTTCATCTCTCTCATGTCCCTTCCCACACATCTCCTTCACGTTTCCCGAGGCCTACCCCTGCCTCGTGCTCCCTGTGGATTCCACTGCAGTGACTGTCTTGTGATGTTTCCGCTGGGCTTTCTTAATTAAGGTGTGTCCAATCCATCGCCACTTTCTTAGTCCTATTTCTACTTCTATCCTTTTGTCCTGTCCTTTCCCACAGCTTTTCATTTCTTATTCTATCCTGCCACTTAATTCTAAGTTTGGCTGGATTGGTGACTGATTAAATATTTTGGGTCCTTGTCCACATAAACTTTGAGGTGTGCCAAAGTATTCATAGTAATTATTATATCACAAATTCAAGAAAGGAAACTCTATTTTTAAAACTAAAAAAAAACCTCAATGGAAAAGTTAGCTTCTCTGGTTATTTCATTACACAATCAGTATGAATGATCAATTTCAAATGCCCATTACACAACAAGAAGTGTATCTCTGCGTAGTTCTTATCACACATTTTGTTCTCTACAGTCTATCATTCTTCACTGAATGCAAGCTGCTGAGGACATGACACAATTCATGTTGTTTCTTCACAAACTGATTCCACTGACCCCAAGAAGGGAAGTGGTCAATTCCTGACATGTCACACCAAATAAAAGGCACAAAGTAGTTGGAAAAGTGGAGCTGTATTCTGTTCAACTCTTCTTCATACCTATCTGCTAATTGAAGGTAAAAACAAGTTAGCAATAGACCCCCAAAACCCAATAGTGCAAGGTCTGTCTTCAGAGTTAGAGTTACCTATTTGTGTCAAGGGATTTGAACTCATACAAAAGTGACCGACCTGAGAGGACCACTAAGTATTTAGCATTGCCTACCTGTTGAAGACAGCAAGAGCCAGAGGGCTGCTGTTACACCCAGTCAAGGCATTTACATCAGCATCCTGGTCAAGCAGCAGCTCTACCATTTTGTCATGGCCTCGGACACAGGCAAAGTGCAAGGCAGACCAGCCCTGATCGTCACGTTGGTTTGGTGCCTGACCAATGTCCAGAAGGTACAGCAGTGTCTTGAGTTGTCCGAGAGAGGCAGCCAGGACTAGAGCAGGGCGGGCTGGATTGGCTCGACAGCTGGCGCCACCACGGATCAAAATATCCACAATGTCCAACGCTCCTGAAGATTACAGCAAAGGCATGACTTCTCCATTTACTATAAAAAAAAAATTTTAAGTTTAAGATCACTTTTTTCCCTATATTTGCAATTCTACGGGAAAAACAGCAATAGTTTCATAATGTTATTTCCACTAGCTTTGGATAAACAGCTGAAACGTTTCACAGAACACTTTATTAAACCAAGTGTACTCCTACCACCACTACTGCTAATACTTCTATTATTATAATCATTACCATTACCACTACCGCTACCACTACTACTATCTACTTCAACATCATAACCATTACTACTATTACTACTACTATCTACTTCTACAGCAACAACAACTACTACCACTACTATACTCTGTCACATTTTTAAGTATACACATTTTAAAACTCAATTTTTAAAAAACCTATGCCACCAATTACTTTCAAATTTACACACTGACTACGTGATATACCTGTCGCTGGTGAGTTGTTTTCAGATTTCTGAACGGGTAAATGATTTTGCTACTGCTCGCGAGTTACATGTTTTGTGTTTTCAAAGAATAACTCATGGTACGGAAATGATTTGTTTAAAAATGAGGTACAAATCAAACCTTTGTCATTTTTGCAACATTTCGCCAGTGATAAAACGTGTGTTGTCTTAAGTTTCATGATGCCACGCCTAAGAGAAAATGTACGAAATTAGCTTTTTGGAATGATCCGCGGGGGTGTCTCAGTATCCGCTGCTGCGAGACGTTTTAATGTAACAAGAAGACCTGTGTACGCAACAATTGACCGTGAAAGAACAACAGAATCACCAAAAGATCGACCCCGTCGACTTGAGAAAAAAAAAAAAAAGTACTTCAAGAGAGGATATTTTTATACGCCTGTCGCACCTTACGGAATCGTTTCAAAACGGCAAGACAAACCAGAGATGAGTTGAACAACATGCGACAACACCAGCCTCAGACACTTCCTCAACTTGAGAGAGCAATGCAGTGCAGCGAATGATTGATTCCATGTGGCGACGACGTCAGGCCGTCATCAATGCAAGGGGATATTGTACGCGCTACTGATCGCGTTACTTTTGTAGACCACCCCCACACTCTTGTAAGTCGGGAATAAACCTGTTACGTTAACTTTCGGTATTGTTGTTTTTTTGTTTGTTTTTAAAATTGATTGAATTAGTATTCCTGAAATTTTTAAGAATATCGGCTCATTGTGAAACTAGCTATTTTCATTTTAACAGTGTATACTTAAAAATGTGACAGAGTATACTACGTGATTTAACATACTGTTTCAAGCAAGGGAGGATGCCAAGAGAATTGATAACTTCCTTTAAATATCTTTCCAGTGCAGTTTCCAATACTCATGACATTTTGTAATGTTGGTTATTACTGAAGAGACCAAAATGCACTACAAAAACAAGGCCACTCACTGATACGAATTGCCATGGTAAGGGCTGTCTCTCCATCTTTGTCGATGTTGTTCAGTGGAACTTTAGCATCAATGAATTCCCTGACCACCAGGTGACCAGACCCGACTGACAACATGACTGGGAGGACACCGTCTGATGTTGGGATGGTGAAATCCGCTCCAGCTGCCAACAAGACTCTGACAAGCCGAGCGTTGACCATCCGCACAGCAATCACCAACGGGGTTTCTCCTCGGAAGTTCTTCTGAAAATAGCGAGCAAGGCACAAAATTTATTAAGGTCTAAGAGGGAATGATATAGAAGGGCATTTTACGACTGCTATAAACCTGAAGGTACTTTAGTCTGAAAAGAAGTATAGAGTAGTCTCCGCCTAAGATCCCGGTGCTTGGAACCAAGGAAAATGCGTGATCTTAGGCAAACGGGATCTTTGCCGACGCACCAAGGGAAGAATCTACGGTGACCCATGTTTAAGCCCACAACCAGTAAAATGGTCTCCCTTCGCTCTAAAATGAACTGACGTGACCCCTGGGTAGGTTTATGACATTTGGCGAGCAAAGCGTGGTCAACCTTGATGACCAATCACAGTGGCATGAGGCATGCCATTTTTACTTATTATCCTATCAGGAGTCTCAGGATCTAAGCTCATCCAGTTGCCCCTCCCCTTTACCTGTCCAAAATTTATAACTTTCCATCTCTGACCGAGTTCCTCTGCCTTTGTTGTTATGCACCATCCTCTGCCTTTGTTGTTATGCACCATTATGTTGTGACCACATCAATTGACATTCAGTCTGTCTTGCAAATTCGTGAGTAGAGACAACTGGTGCAATGGTCTGGGTGGAGTTCACAGTTCGATGTGATCCCGCCTAGAGCGAAATTGTAAGCCCTACCCACCCTGCGTGTGATTATGTTAGTTTAGGTGGAAAGCTCAGATGCGAGTGCGATGTTTTGGGAATACAAATGTATCGGTCACTTCACACATCGGTGTGAACCTGTCTGGGGCAAACATTGTACTGTTTCATCAGGTTTTACAACCTTTATGTGTTCACATTCACGAAAGTGGCTGATCTTTGACGCGACAGGCAGTTCAGTGATCTCAACTTTTCACTATTGGTTAATCGGCTGTGCCTGCCCGGGTTTTTGTTCCGTAAATTATGATCTGAAATGCGGGATCTTAGCTGACAGTAGACCTTCAGAGTGAATCAGATCGAAATCTTAAGGGAGGCTTTTGTTTAGTAAAAATTCTGTTCACTTGAAAGAGCGGGATCTTAAGTGAACCGAGATCGTAAGCAGTGGGATCTTAGGCGGAGACTACTGTACTACACAATAATGGCCATTTAGTACAGAGAAAACACAAGCTAGGCCAATAAAAAAAAAAGCAGAAGGAAAGACAAGAAATGGGCCTTACCAGTGGTGCCCCCTAACTAACCCATTCAAGAAAGTAGAGTTGTTATTCCCAGTAGAACGGCACAATAAATAATAACAGCTGGCCAGATCTCCTCCCCCCCCCCCCCCCCCCCCCAAACCCCCCCCCCAACAAGACCAGAATAGTAATTATACAGAAAAGAAATAGGTGTATAGCACAACCAGGCATCTGTATGGAGCAAGCCACAAAAAAATGGGTCTTTTTATTCAAACAGAAAAATCAATATCATCTTTATCGGTATATTTATTGCTGTTTTGAAAAGAGAGTAACAAAGAGCAAAATAATGTTAGATTTTAAATTTACAGCTGAAGATTAGGCCTACCTGCATTTGTTGCTCAATTTAAACCAAAAATTTCAGAAGGAAAATAGTCTGTTCACACTCATCTGTGAATATAGAAAGCTTTGCAAAACTGAAATATATATCAATCCAAACAATTCAACTAAATGAATACAAACAAAGAGAATTTTAATGAGACAGCTCCCAAACTTTACCATTGCAACGGCCTTTGTCTCACATCACTAGTAGAGACAACAGACTGCCAAATGCAATGGCATCATCTAAGTAAAATTAAACATTCTCAATTAAATGACAAGAACAAAAAGAAGTCGCAGGGTATCTAAAAAAATGTCACTGCACCGAAGTTCTGAGAACAAAACAAAGACTTTGTGGTGAATCAGCGGCACCACACCAACAGAGAGAGCTGTGCCCCTGTTGGTAAGATGCAAACCACCTCATGAAATGCACATGGCTAACCAGTGTCTGTGGTCCAGCAGTTGGGCACTTCACTGTCACATACAAGAGACCCACTGTCAGTTCCCAGAGAGGACAAATTATTATCCAGTATCTCGGTCTTTCAGCTGGGATGTTGCATCACTCTTACCCTGGGTTGACTCAAACAGGCAAGGTCAGAAGGCTGCCTCTTAAAAGATCTTAACTTTTGTTGATAGGGGTGTAAAAAAAAGTTTCAGTAACACAGAGTTTCTCACAGCATTTAGGTCTACTCCTCTGGCCGTGATCAATATGTCCACTAAGTGGAACTTCTCAGCCAGCATAGCGTCAATCAGCGGTGTGTGTTTCTCATTCTTGGACTGGACGTTGGCGTCAAGATTAGGCTGGCTACACAGCCAGGACACTATATCAGCTGAATAGACAAAAGAAAAAGATAATTGTTAAAACAAGAAAAAAGTCAGAAATAGGTAGGATATAAGGGATTAGGAAAAGCTGTTTCACACATAATAAACCAAAAGTAACATTAAAATGCAGAATGTAATTGTAGATAAAATTCTTCCATTCAAAACCTATTTCTTCTGAACGCAAGTATATTACTTACTCATATTTTAAATATCTACTGTAGAAAAATAAACATAAAAAGGCGGTACACTTTTGTGAGTGTGTTTTTAACTACGGGTAATTCATAAAATTTATTCTCACAAGGGCCTTAAAAGGTTTGTTGTCACTGAAAGGAAAGGCGTGATGTGAAACATTTATAAGATTATTTTCAAGTGGGAAAAATGTGCTTAGGTATGGTACTCTTTCCATAAAACACTTCATTTACAAACAATTTATATTGTAAAATACATCATTTAACCAAAAAAAAGTGCATTTGGGAAGACAACACTTTCAAATAAGATGCACATAGAAGGAGACAGTGAGAGTTGTCAGCTCAAATGCACTTTTTAAAATTTACTTTTACTGTATTTTTTTTCCATGTTACTATCTGTAAGTAACACAATTTTTGCAGAAATGCACAAACCTGTCCACAAAACAGTTAAAACAACCTGTACTACACATGTAAAAAAAAAAGAACAGTAAAACTAAATAAATACAAGACTAAAGAATATGTCCACACACACACACACACCAAAACACACACCCACACACAAGCACACACACACACACAACACCCACACAAACAAACACACACACACGCAGACTCCTGCAAAAATAAAAAAATGGAGTACTACAAGCATGCTAAATTAAGACATAGTAAGTGGACAGTCCATGCAGAAGTCTACATGAAGTTAAAAAATCAAGGGTTTTTTCTGGCTTACTCAGGTGTCAATAGATTCAATTATAAAAATAAAGTCAATTTACTCAGAGATGTCGTAGAACCTGGAGAACAGTCACGGTAATTGATGTACAGAAAAGTGGAAAGACATGGAAAAACATCAAGCGGCTAGCCCAGGATAGGGAAAGGTGGAAAGTGTTTGTTCGTGGCCTATATCCTGATCCAGAGTGAGAAAGGCAATGATGATGACTCAGTGATGTTGATGTAACCTCTTGTCCATTTCATGCTTGCATTGTACTTGATATGGAAACTAAAGTTTCTCCAGGAGGATGAATAAACAGAGGTTTGTCTGGATGTTTTTCACCCCAACGGAAATATACAACAATCTGAACAACAAAGGGATCATGCTGATACATCAAAGAATTTGAACGGAGATGGCCACTCATTTGGTGTCCACTACCCAAGCTAACCTTGAACGAGGGGACAAACCCACAAGCATGCAGCAATCAGGGGGCAGGCAAACTGCAACCACGTGCCACTAACTTCTCGTCTGCATCACAGCCAGTGAGAGAGCAGTGAAATGACATAGTGACGTTTCAGCATTGATGTCACATTCAAATTTCCCAACCAGCTTTGTGAAGAGCTCTAGATTCCCGATCGCTGCTGCTACATGGATCCATTGTTTCTCTGATGATCGAAAAGGCTCGGACCCACTTTGATACCTTTTCTGTAAACATTTGCAGTGGCCTTCCATCAGGTGGTGTAAAAAGGACTCCAATCGCTCATCCTCTGTATCTTCTATAATCGTTGGATGCTGTTCAAAGAAACGTCCACAGGAACAACTTGGTGCAACATCTGCGGAGAAGTTTTATTGTGAAGGGTTGCTTTAATACTCATACATTAAGTAAAATGACCTGCATAATAAAGCCTTGGATAATATTTTTGTTTAATCAAACTGAACACTCTGCTGCTCCTGCTACACTCACATTCATCTTATGCTGCTATAGACAAACTATCCTCTGCTGCATAATCACTCTTTTGTTTCCAGAACAAAGCTAAGAACCAAGGGTTTTTGTAGTTTTGACTGTTATGTCATTTTCAACTGCAACAGTTGAAACACCTTGCGGTTTTTATTCCTATTCAAGAAACATTATATCAGTTGAACAAAATTTCACACATAAAGCTATATTCATACCAGCAAAAAAAGACAAATCTGTTCAAATGAAATATAATAGAGTGCTCACTCAGATTTTTCAACCATAATCTTCCCAAGATGATGTTGCCAAACACAATGAACATTTTTACTGAATGTAATATTTTTGGAATAGTTTAAAAAAAAAATATAGACACTAAGAATACTTACTTTATACTTAAGATCTTTGAAAGTTGAAATTGCATTTCATGAGCAGATTAAAACTTCCCAGATCAACTGATTTTGTTTTTCTTAGCTGTGACTGAATCTAAATCAGTGGGAACTAAAATATATATTTAAATACATGATTTGAAACAGAAAGAACCATCTTCATCTTCGACCCAGTGCTGCAGACCCAACTAGCTGAAAAAAAAGACTTAACTACTTCACGTCTAAATGCAAAATAATCTCACCAATTGCAAGAGGTTGAGACATGACGTGTTTACTCATGCCATTAATGAACTCATCAATGTTCCATGTTTCCAGAGAGCATGTGATGAAGGATTGGTACACCTTCACTTGTCTAGCTCGCAGTTGCTCCATAGCACTAGCCATTGTTACAGATTTTGATTTCAATTTCTGTTGGAGAGGAAATGAGACTACATAGACATAAAACATTTATTCAACCTAAAAAAAGAGAGGATGCTAAAGGGTATTATTTTGTAGCTGCACAGAGTAAAGTCAGGTGTGCGTCCACCTTCAGGCCTTTAGAAAGCCATAATTCGGCTATTTTCGTATCGATCCAAATTTTGAAAGTATCGGCGTGACCGGCAGAATTGGACGCATCACCAGACTTAGTTATAATCTCTGTATGCTTAATAGACATCATTCTACATTGCATTTTAATGTGTCCACTTTGGTCTGGTGACGCATCCACTTTGCTGGTGAATGCGTCCACTAGGTCTGGTCAGTGCCACCACCGGCACCCCCTAATTCTTCATAATATTAGAAATAAACGATGTTTAAACATAGAATCTAGATCTATGTTCACCCGGTCTGTCATTCTTTATCCTATTATTATCCACTCACTCATTCTTCATTATGTAAGAAATAAAAATGAATAAAACCTTTTGATCTATGTTAAGATATTTCATTCCTTAACATTGACATTAGATAAAGTGACAAAAAAACATTTACATGTAGACTCTATTTATTAATTTACAACCAAATATCTTTATACTTATGTAGATTTATTTACAATTTTAATTTGTAATGTTCAATAATTTAAATACAAGTAAATTTATGTGTTCAAAATACGCGGATGGATGGTAAGTACAAGCGAATTATGAAATAGTGGGCATGAAAATATCACAGATAAAAGTCACTGCTCCTAGCTCTTCGACCTGTCTTTCCTCTCAATTCTTCCTTTCTGCTGCATATTGCATGCCTCCAGCTATCACATAATTCACATTGTACATACAGTCCTTGTCCATGGCTCCGACACCCTCTACAACTACTGTCCATCATCTCATCTTGCAAGCACGAGCGGGTTTGCTACCGGGGTACAGCCCTAATGGAAGGAGTTAGGGATCCTATTAAACTCTTTAAGTGATAGATCTATCATTATTGCTTCATGTGCTTTTCCATGATCTGAAATTGTGAGAATTTAATATAATAAGTGTGTGTTTGTGAGTGTGTGTGTGTGTTTGTGTGTGTGTGTAAGAGAGAGAGAGAGAGAGAGAGAGAGAGAGAGAGAGAGAGAGACAGACAGACAGACAGACAGACAGAAACAGAGAAACAGATTGACAGACATAGAAGGAGCGAGAGAGGGGATAAAGAGAGACAGAGAAAGGGAGACAGAGAGAGAGAAAGAGATAGAGAGAGAGACAGAGAGAGAGGGGGGGGGAGAAAGAGAGAGAGAGAGAGACACAGAGAGAGAGAGAGAGAGAGAGAGAGAGAGAGAGAGAGAGAGAGAGACAGACAGACAGACAGA